TTTTTAAATTATTATTAAATTTTATTAGTTTTAGTGAACATTTACAGAGATTTTTGGGTTTTCATTCATTCATTGTTGCACTGTTTTCTCTACCCTCCTCCCCAGTTCGTTCTTCTTTTTTGAGTGTAAAAACGAGAGTATGTTAAGAACAAGTTTAAAACCTGCAACACTAAGTTTTAATAAAAATACGTGGACCTAGGTGGGGATGTAAACTGGGACAAGGCTTTGGAAAAGTGACGGGGGGGGGGGGTATTTTATAAAGTGCAAATCTTTCAATCCAGCAATTCTGATACTAGGTATATCCTGGACCCATAATTTCTAAAGAGATGCGTGCACACTAATATAATGTACAAGATGATCGCAGAGGTAGGAAAGAGATTTTGGAGCTCTTTTTTTTTTAATAAAAGAAGAAAAGCAAGTAACTATACCAATATTTAACCAGTTGATGCTGGTGGCACCCCTGGGCCTCTGTTAGAACCATGTCTGGCAGACAAAGGATTGTAGCCAGGTAAAGAGCAAGGAGTAAATTCCATATTTGGAGGGTTTGTGTGTGTTTTGAAGGATTTTGTTACTTGTTAGTACATAGAAAGTTCCTTTGTTTATCTATTATAGCTGCTGCTTTGTAGAGCTACATCATGCTTTTTAAAAGCAGTCTTCTAGAGGTGCGGGAGCTCTGGTGGCCTAGTGGTAAGAAGCTGCATTGCAATCCAAAATGCACGCAGTTTTAATCCAGCAGCTGCTCCAAGGGAGAAGGATGGCCAATCTCTTCCTGGGCTAATTACTCCAAAAACCCGCTGGAGGGTCTGCTATGGGTTGGTTCTGACTCAGTGGCACAGAACAACTCCTACAGTTGGAATGTAGATTATTTCTGTCCCTTTGCTATGAACATCACTGCAATGATTATTCTTGAAAAGATTTTATTCTGCAAGCATATATTTATTAGTATAAATTCTAGAAGCAGAACTGCTGTTTTTTGTTCTTTTCCATATTGTCCTCCATCAAGATTGTACCGATTTATTTTCAGGTCCAACATTTTCCAAAACCTGTTATCTCCTCACTAGTCAACGTAGTGCATTGTCAGACTTTTATCTGAGAAGCAGACAATGATAATTCACTACAATTTTAATATTTTACAAATTTTTAGGTCAAGCATCTTTCAATAGTTTAAAAAGCCATTTGATTTTCTAATGTAAGCTAAGAGAAAGTTTGCCATTTGTCCATTTGGATGAAGAAAAAAATTAAACATGAGTAGTTTTACCTTTGTTACAGGTGTAAAAAGAGTGTGGGGAAGAGGATTTCTGACCCCCATTAACTTTAGTAGAGGGAAGAATACTATTAACAGTACCAAGAGCACAATGAATCTTGGTTAAGAGGCTGTTAAAAATTGACGGCCGTGCTAAGGAACACATTTGCCATCATTTGTGGCAACGTGTTAAACACATCTACCAACATGTGACTTTTTTTTTGTATCTTTAAAATGTTCTGTAGTTTCCACATTCTGTTGGGTCACCTTTCTTTGGGATAGGAACAAATATCAATCTCTTCCAGTCAGTTGGCCAAGTGGTCGTTCTCCAGATTTCTTGGCACAACTTGGTGAGCACGTCCAGGGCAGCATCTGTTAACTGAAATATGTCAATTGGTATACCATCTATTCCTGGAGCCTTATTTTTTGCCATTTCCTTCAAAGCAGCATCAACAGAGAACTACCAGAAGTCCAGGCTGGGTTTAGAAGGGGTCGTGGTACTAGAGATATTGTAGCTGATGTTAGATGGATCTTGGCTGAAAGCAGGGAATACCAGAGGAATGTCTGTGTTTCATTGACTATGCAAAGGCATTTGACTGTATAGATCATAACAAACTATGGCTGACTCTGAGAAGAAGGCGGATCCCAGAACACTTGATTGTTCTAATGCGAAACTTATACTTGGACCAGGAGGCAGTCGTCAGAACAGAGCAAGGGAACACTGCACGGTTCAAAATTGGGAAGGGCGTACGCCAGGGATGCATCCTATCTCCATACCTTTTCAACCTATATGCAGAACAGATTATCCGGGAGGCTGGGCTCTATGAGGAGAAATGTGGGGTCAAGATTGGTGGACGATTTATCAACAATCTGCGTTATGCAGATGACACAACCCTGCTTGCTGAAACTGAGGAGGACCTGAAGCGCCTGCTGCAGAGTGTCAAGGACTGCAGCCTACAATATGGATTGAGGCTCAATGTCAAGAAGACAAAGATTCTCACCACTGGACCAATTGACAGCATCAGGATGGATGGTGAAGAGATTGAGATTGTACACAGCTTTAGTTTGCTTGGCTCCATAGTCAACAGTCTTGGCACCAGCAGCCAGGAAATTAAAAGGCGCATTGCCATGGGAAAGTCTGCTGTTAGGGCCCTCTCCAAAGTACTCAAGAGCAATGGTGTCTCTCTGGAGACTAAGGTGTGTCTGATACAGGCTATGGTCTTCGCAATCACTTGTTACGCATCAGAGAGTTGGACAATGACCAAGGAGGATAGAAGGAGAATTGATGCCTTTGAGCTGTGGTGCTGGAGAAGAGTATTGAGAATACCATGGACTGCTAGGAAAACAAACAGATTTGTCCTGGAAAGGGTTAAACCGGGTGGCTCCTTGGAGGCAAGGATTCTGAGGCTCCTTCTAACATACTTTGGACATGTTGTGAGGAGAGACCGGTCTTTGGAGAGGGACAGCGCAGGAGGGGAAGGCCCTCTATGAGGTGGATTGATTCAGTGACTGGGATAATTGGGATGGGAGTGTGAGAGACAATGCGATTGGCACAGGACAGAGCGGAGTTTAGGGCTGTTGTACATAGGGTCGCTATGAGTCGCAAGCGACTCGACGGCACATAAGAACAAACAACAACATCTTTAAAATATAGACAATAAAAACAATTCCTCACAAAGCTGTTGGGAAGATTCCATGAAACAATCTATGAAAAGCTCTTAGCACAAGACTTGACAGAAGTTAGAGAAGGTTTCTCAAAATGCTGAACGAATAATAAAGGACGTGGGCTGCCTCCTGCTCATTTATTGGGGGGGGGGGGCATAAGGAGTGTTCTCATCTCAGATTGTGTAGAAATCAAGGAAAGCTTCCAGGAGCTGAGTTTTAATGGGGAGAGGCTTAGAATGGTGCAGCTTGTATTAAGTATGTTGCTGTTGTTATGTGCCGTCAAGTCGCTTGCGACTCATAGCGACCCTATGTACAACAGCCCTAAACTCTGCTCTGTCCTGTGCCAATCTCCCTGTATCCGATACACCCATCCCGATTACTCCAGTCACTGAAATCAATCCACCTCATACAGGGCCTTAATGGCGGCCATGGGTTTTCAGGGCAGAGCGAACAAGTTTCTGCTTGAAAGCTACTGGGCAAGGTTTTCTGGATTCTTGAAATCAGAGCTGGGAGGGCTTCTTGATATCACAGCCACGTGCTGCGGGAGCACGTGGAAGGGGCAGCTCCGGGACATGGACTGAATCAAGTGCCAGAGTCACAGTTGCGTTCCAGTCCTCAATCAGCCCTGTACCTCTGGCCGATACTTACTAAAGCCTTCTAACTTCTCCAAATGTAATAAAAATAGAGTCTGTTAAGAAAACCTGTCTCAGTGACGATGAGATCACGTGAACACCTGCCTGAACGCGCCTTAACGGGAAAGTATGCAACGCCAGAGCAGCTCCCCATCCTCCAGCTCTCGGTCGGGAAGGCAGAGGCTGGAGTTTCCTCTAGGCATGCGCAGTAAGGTGGTCGAGCGGCCCGTCAGGCACTGCGGTAGGCGCCCTGGGGCTGGCAGGACCCTGACCCCAACATGGCGGCGCCCAGCGAAGTGGCCGCATGCGCAGTAAAGTGGTCGCGCGGACCGTCAGGCACTGCGGTAGGCGCCCTGGGACTGGCAGGACCCTGACCCCAACATGGCGGCGCCCAGCGTAGTGGCCGCATGCGCAGTAAGGTGGTCGGCCGGCCCGTCAGGCACTGCGGTAGGCGCCCTGGGACTGGCAGGACCCTGACCCCAACATGGCGGCGCCCAGGGAAGTGGCTGCGGCATCCTCTGCCGAAGCTGATGGTGAGGGCATCGCCTTTAGGATGTGGCTGGACGAACGGTTGGAGGCGCTCGGAGTTGATCAAGCCGTGTACGGCGCTTACATCCTGGGTGTTCTGCAGGAGGAGGAGGAAGAAGAGAAGCTGGATGCTCTGCAGGGGATCCTCTCAGCTTTCTTGGTGAGGAGCCCAGACACATTTCTTCAGTCTCTAGTGGGTCCTTGAGAACTCCAATCGGGACGTCTGCCGCTACCTAGGATCCTGGGGGGTTTAGTGATCTCACTTGGGAGAGGTATGCGCCTACTCTAAGCCCTAAGTGAAGGAGTTGCTACAGGTGCAAAGAGAGGAAAAGCTTTATCTTCTTTTTGGGGACGGGACCCTCTTGGGATGCCTGCAGGAGAGTTGAATGAGTATTCTGAAGGCAGTGAAATGGTTCAATGGAAGTGTATCATAAACATCTAACGATCAATTTCATCCTCATCCGTTAACAGTGTTAAGAGGGTGTAATGATGTACTCTTGGGAGACAGATGTCTGTCTTGAGACCAAAGCCTGCAGGAGGTGCGCTCCTATGTTGGAAGAATGAGTAAAAAAAAAGCAAGGTGGTGGTAAAACTACTGAAGCATATATTGTGCTTGGTCTGTAAAGTATTTGATGTCGTTGTTCGTTGCTGTCGAGTCGGAACTGATTCATTGAGGGAAGCTGAATATCAAATTTAATAATAGTAGACCAAATGCTGTATTGGGAAATGAGGGAAGCTTAATACAAGCTGAAGGTCACCTTGTGACACTGGGGCATTCCCTAGGAGTCAACATTGTTCTTAGTTTGTGTCAAATGAATCCCTCCCTCTTGAGATTAGCATAAAGAGGAACTTGGCCTTATCTGTAAAAGACTTCACCATTATCCTTTGTTTTTGCTTTGTACTTCCTTGTGATTTTACTTTGCTTACCTTCCTTATGATTCTAAATAAATACTCAGAGAAGCATGGCTTGGGGCCTCAGTCATGGGAACTGTTGGCCCCCTATTTTTTTTTTTTAAATTATTTTATTTTATTTTATTATTTTTGTGTGCATGTACCGTCAAATCAGATCTGACTGGTACAGGAGGAGATTGTCCCTCCTTCCCCGGCAGAGCATCTGGTGGATTCGAACCGTGCGCCTCTGGGATTGTAGTTGCAGCTCCTTGCCACTAGGCCACCAGAGCTCCCCTTGGCCCCCTATTTTTCACACTCTCTGTTCTATATCATTCCTGGTAGTCGGTCTCATTATTAATAATTATAAAATTATTTCATTCTTTGGGACCCTCGGTCTGCAACAACTCATAGCTGACCCCCCAGCAGGTTTTCAGAGGCTGTAAATCGCTTCTGATTGTCTCCCTTGGAGCAGCCGGTGTACGTGAACACACAAATATTTTGGTGAGTTCACTGCGCCCAAGTGGCGAAGTGATTTTGTGTTGCCCAACACTCTTAACGAAAAGAAGCTCAAGAAATTAAGAATTTTATCTCCAGTGATTTGAGGTAGGATTCTAGAACACTTTTGTAGTTGGGAGCAAATAATGATAAATAAAAGCTTTCTATTTTTCTCTTTATACCATCTATTAGTCCTTTTATTGATTCATTCATTCATCACATTTTTATTGTGAGCTTTTTGTTTGTCGAGCATTGCCCTAAGTGCTTGAGATCCATCAGGAAGTAAAACAGAAGTCCCTACCCTCTGTTCTTTGAGTTCCTCAGAGAACAAAACAGGCTGTGTTTTTTTTGTTGTGCTTTTCCCATCTCCCCATCAATAAACTTTATGCTACTATATTAGACAGTGCTAAGTGCTATGGGAGAAAAAAAATCAAGACATCACAAGTGGATCAGGAGTGGAGCAGAGGGATAAATTGCCATTTAGAGAAGTCATGATGTTACATATTTTGACAGCTATTGCAGAAGAATTTCATGAAACAACATATGATCAAGAGCCTAGGGTGATGAAGGAGGAAGTTCAAGCTGCTCTGAAGGAATTGGCAAAAAACAAGGTCCCAGGAATTCATGGAATATCTCTTGACATGTTTCAGCAAATAGATGCTGCCATTGATGTACTCACCAGGTTATGCCAAGAAATCTGGAGGACAACTGACTGGAAAAGGTCTGTATTTATTCCCATTCCGAAAAAAAAAAGTGACCCAATAGAGTGTGAAAATTATTGAACAGTATCACTAATTATACACACAAGCAAGATCCTGCTGAAGATTACTGGAACAGTACATCAGCAGAGAACTGCCAGATGTGCAGACTGGTTTTAGAAGAGGCCATTGCACTAGGAACATCATAAGCTAATATTAGATAGATCTTGGATGAAAGCGTAGAGTACCAGAGGAATGTCTGTCAGTGTTTCATTGACTAGGCAAAGGCATTTGACTGTGTGGATCACAACAAATTGTGGCTAACTTTGAGAAGAATGGTAATCCCATGAAACCTGTATTTGGACAAGGACACAGTAGTCAGAACAGAGCAGGGAAACTACATGGTTCAGGATCAGGAAAAGTGCTTCAGTGATGCATCCTGTCTCTGTACCTTTTCAGTCAGAACAGATCATTCAGGAAACTGGACGTTATGAGGAGGAATGTGGCATCAGGATTGAAGGAAGATTCATCTACAACCTGCATTATGCAGATGACACAACTTTGCTTGTTGCAACTGAAGAGGACATGAGGCGATTGCTGTCAGTGGTCAAGAACTGTGGTCTCATATGATCTGAAGCTAAATGGCAAGAAATCAAAGATTCTCATCATTGGGTCTATTGGAGAAGAAATTGAGATTGTTAATAACTTTAGCTTGCTTGGTTCCACAATCAACACTCTTGTCATCAGGAGCCAAGAAATCAAAAGGCAAATTGCATTGGGAAAGTCTGCTGTCAGAGACCTCTCTAGAGTACTGAAGAGCAGTGATATCAGTCTAGAGACTGAGGTTCACCTGATCCAGGCCATGGTCTTTGTAATTACTTGGTATGCATCAAACAGTTGGACAATAACTAAGGATGATAGAAGAAGGGTCAATGGTTTTGAGTTGTGATACTGGAGAAGAGTGTTGAACATTCTGTGGACTGCAAGGAGGACAAATAGATCTGTCCTAGAGAGAGTGAAACCAGTTTGCTTCTTGGAGGCAAGGATTTTGAGGCTCTGTCTCACATACTTTGGGCATGTGGTCAGAAGGGACCAGTCCTTGGAGAGGGACATCAGTCTTTGAAGGGTGGAGGATAGCACAGGAAAGGAAGTCCCAGAACGAGATGGATTGACTCAGTGACTGGAGCAATGGGATTAGGTCTGTTGGAGACCATGGGATTGGCAATAGGATAGGGCAGCTTTCAGAGCTGTGAGTCACAGGTGACAACAACAACGTCGAGATATCAGCTTTTAAATCATTAGTGTCATGAAACCAGGAACTGTTCATGATTCACGGAGTCTCATTCATCTTAGTGCTTTGGATATAACAGGCACCTCTGGATGAATGAATGAATGAATAGGTGTACATTTAACTAAGTGGTTTAGGCAAGGGGACTGACTCCTTTCTCCAGGAGCTGTTTCTCTTTTGCCTCTCCACTTCTTAGCTGTACTCCCCCCCCCCCCCTTTTCTCATCTGCTTTCCCATCCTACCTGATTCTCCAAAGATTACAAGAATTCAGGGCCAAAGAAGTTCTGTTGTGAAGTTAAGGGTTTATTGTTCAAAATGGCTTTCCTAGCCATTGAATTTGACTTTGCCATGTGGATAGGCAGGAATACACATATCGGGTGTGTTAGCCTTTCCACAGGGGATTGGCTAGTTTCACGACTAAATTGAGTAGATCCAGCAGCAGAATAGGAGAAAACCTTAACCACCCGTGAAGAAGAAGCAAGAGAATGCAGCATGTCCTTAAAGGTCAGAGATTCTTGTGCCAGTCAGACCAGGGGCTACAGGACCAGCAGCTATAACAGCCTCAGTGAGAACCAGAGACCTGATGTGAGATGGCATGGACCCTGGAACCGCTACCCCATGGAACAAGAACTAGGAGCCTTTGCCCAAGTTTATTGGATAACTGTGGGGGTCGGCAGGGAGCCATAATTGGCAAGACTGAGAGCTTTGTACCTGGCCTAAAGGTGCGAGGCTCAAGGCTGAGGCATCTGTGATCATATTTCAGAAACTGTCCTGACTGTATTCTTTTACTAACCTGAGTTACAGCCTTTTGACTTCCACAATATGGTACTGTGTAGTCTGTGAACTATTGCATCAGAGTTTGGACCCGGGAAAATAGTAGTAAGATTGGTGCTTAAGTAAACAGAGGCGTAAGAGTGTGGGGGGCATGTCTGACTCCTGGGAATTGATTTGATGGTGTTGACTGTGACAGTTCTCATATATGAAGTTGGTAAAGGTCAGATACGGCTGTCCCCAAAAGGCTTTTGCTCTTTTTCATGTCTGTATTTGGCACAGGTGCTAGAAATAGAGGTTGTGTTGGAGTGTTGTCTGGAATCCTTTGCTAAGAGCACATAAGGATGCTTATCGTAGGTCTGTGTTCTGACACCTTGTGCAGATGCCCCATTTAGATGCCTGGGATAATATAGAGTAAGAGCCTGAGCCTGATAGACCAGACTGACTAGACTCTGGGTCTGACTGCTTAATCCCTTTATTATTGTGACTTCTTGGGAGTTTTTTAATCTCTATGCCCTGATTGTCTCTAGATTGAGACTAGTAATGGTACTTACTTCGGAGGACTGTTTTAAGAATTGAAATTTCTCATGTAAAATATTTAGAATGGTGCCTAGCACATATGAAGTACTTATTTAATGTCGGCTCTGCCAATTTGCACTGAGGGGTTGAATGTGTCAATGATAGAGGTAGTCATAATGAAGACAAGGAAAGACTCCTATTTGTTGGATGCCTGCTTTTTGGCTGGGGAGCTCTGGTGACCTAATTAATAGGGAATTGTGCTGCTTACCCAAAGACCAAACTTTTTCAGTGGTTCCAGTCCACCAGTGGTTCTCCAGGAGAAGCAGAGGCATTGCATTCTCTCCTGTGTGATTTACAGCCTCAGAAACCCAGTGTGAGAGTGTCAGCTATGAGTCTGTTCTGACTCCGTGACAATGAGTGTGACAGTTTATGTTTTATTTTTTGCCAAGTAGGGTAGGCACTATATTCTCTTGTAATCCTTCCTAAAATCTTGGGAATATATGAGGCTCATAGAATTAAGATTTGAACTTAACATGTCTGACACTAAAGCCAACATCATTTTTGTTGTTTCATGTGTGAGAAAGGAGATTGGTTGGTGTGTAAAATATGAATACTTATAGAAAATGGAATGGTTGGTATTGTTATGTGTGTTGAGTGACCTGTGATTCATAGTGACCCTATGTATGGCAGTTCTGAAGACCACCTGTCCTGAGCCATTCTCACTGATTCTGACATACTTATCCCCTTTGCCCCAGTTACTGTCTCAATCTATCTCATCTGGGTCTTCCTCTCCTGTGCTGTCCCTCCGCCCTTCCAAGCACGTTGCCCTTCTCCAAGGACTGGTTCCTTTTGGCCACGTGTCCAAAGGAATCCTATTTATCTCCTTTTTTTTTTTTCCCTATAATTATATTTTATTAATTTTCATAAACATTTACAGAGATTTTGGGCTTCCACTCATTCATTGTTGCACTATTCTCTCTACCCTCCTCCCAGTTTGTTCTTGTCCAAATGCCACAGTGCTTGTCAAAGCCAGTTCTGATTAATCTTCTTTGTCAGTGTATCCTTTGCCATTCCCTATCACTCCTCCCTGAGAGAGACTTCACCCTGAGTCATAAGGAAAAGGGGACGGCGTATTCTCTTAGCTACTTCCTGCTGAAAAGGGACGCTGTGGGTTTCAGGGTGAAGATCTTCTCTCACTACTCTAAAGGGCCCCTTTGGCAGTAGGAAACACATAGACTATTATGGAGATTGATTTTGGAATTCAGATGCACTCTTATTGATTGTGCTTGGCTGTACATGTACATATCCTTCAAGATGTATCATGGGGGTGTTGCAACCTAGAAGACACAAATTTGACTAACAAGTTATAAGTACATGAGTCCAAAAATTATGGAAAAGTAAAAGAAAAGATTCTTTCATTGTTTTACAAACCCTCCCCCAGGTCCCCTCCACCATGCAGCCCTCGCTCTAGTCTCCTGTGATGACAGAAATACCCAGTTACATCTCTCTTTTAGACGGTTCTCTCCCTCCTCTGTTTCAGTGCAGTATACATTATTGAACCCATCTTACTCAGTGTCTCCCTAACCCCAAGGACAGTCCCATTCTACAACAGTGGCATCATGTAATATTTGTCCTTTTGTGACTGGGATATTTTACTCAGCATAATGTTCTCCAGAGTCAACTATTTTGAATAATATTGCATGAGTTCCTTGTTTTTTAATGCAGCATAGTATTCCATTGTGCGAATATACCACAGCTTCTCTAGCCATTCGTTTGTTGATGGGCACTTAGGTTGTTTCCAACTCCTTGCTATTGTGAACAAAGCTGCAATGAACATGGGTGTGCATATATCTGCTTGGATGTCAGCTATGGTCTCTTCAGGGTATATTCCCAGTAGTGGAATTGCTGGGTCAAATGGTATCTCTATTTGCAACTTTTTGAGAAAGCGCCATACTGCTTTCCACAGGGGTTGCACCATTTTACACTCCCACCAACAGTGAAGAAGGGTTCCAGTTTCTCCACAACCTCGCCAGCATTTGTTGCTTGCTGTTCTGTTAAATTTTGCTATTTTGACTGGGGTGAAATGATATCTCATAGTTGTTTTAATTTGCATCTCTCTTAGGGCTAGGGATTTTGAGCATTTCTTCATGTGTTTGTTAGCCATCTGAATGTCGTCTTCGGTGAAGTGCCTGTTCATATCCTGTGCCCATTTTTCTATTGGATTCTTTACCTTTATCTTGTTGTGGTGCTCAAGTATTTCATAAATTCTGGATATAAGTCCCTTATCTGATATGTTATTACCGAATACTTTTTCCCAGTCAGTGGCTTCCCTTTTTACCCTACTGGAGAAGTTTTTGGATGTGCATAGGGATTTGAGTCTTAGAAGGTCCCACTCATCTATGTTATCTTCTCCTGGTTGTAACTTTTCCAGGATACTGGGAAGACTGTTTATGTTGTGGATTAGGACTTCTAGTGTTGTTCCTAGCTTTTCTGTAATGAATTTCATAGTCCTTGGTTTTAGTCCTAGGTCCATGATCCACATTTATCTCCTTTTTTATCATGTATCAGTAAGCTCATTTATAGATATGTCCCAGCATGAAGGTTGATAAACCTGGGAGGTTGATCTGACTAGAGTGTGTCTTCCAATGAAGGTTGGAGATATTTTTGCCAAAAGAGTTTTACTCCAAAAGAATGAGGATGACGTTGACCTTGTGGGAATCTCTTCTCCTGGAGCTGCTGGCAGGATTGAGCAGGTGCTATTGACCTGGAAAGTATGGGATTTTAGAACAGGCACAGTTTTCCTTCTGTTCCTGCAGCTTCAGAAGAGAAGTTTCCTGTTTTATTGCTCAACAAGCCCTTTTCATGATTTCTTCCCAACTACATGCCATCTCCTCATGCTTTTTTCAGCTTGCTATTTTTTTTTTATCACACTCTAAGGAAATTATTTCTTCTTTTTCAACTAGGAAGAAGACTCCTTGCTTAATATCTGCCGAGAGATTGTGGAACGATGGACAGAAACTCAGAATGTTGTCACCAAAGTGAAAAAAGAAGGTAGAGTTGGAGTGTCTTTTGTTGTCTTTTGTCAGTGAGACTGGCTCAGGATAGGGCAGGCTTCAGAGCTGCTGTACTTAGAGTTGCTATGAGTTGTAGGCGACTCGACGCACATAGCAGTAATAGCCAACCATTCCATTTTCTATAAGTTTACATATTTTGCTTTTACTGTGCAATTCCCCCCTTCCCATTTTTTCCTTTGGAAATGCAGATAAATCAAACTGGCAATACCAGCAGCTCATTTTAACTTTTCATTCAGTGTTATTTTCCTTTTCATCTTTTAGTCATCTTTTTATCTTTTTATTTTTTTCCAGTTGAAAGTAAACCATTCTCTTCATTGCAGTTTCGACTTTATTTTTGCCTTTTACATTTTCTTTACCTCTTTTAGTATTTGCATTGCAAGTGTATATCGTGTATCTTTCCCCCAACTTCCCACTTTTCTATAGTCATATATTGCAGTACAATTATGATTAGACCTTTTATTTTTTATTTCGCTAAAGCCTTCACTCTTTAAAATGGATATGAAGTGGGCTGATATACATCATGATTAGGATGACAGATTTGTTATATAATATTCAAATCTTGAATCAAACTTGAAAATAGGATTTGTTCTAGACTGGAGCGCTGGTGGCATAGTCTGTAACATGTTTCTCTGTTAATCTAAAGGCTATATACCTCCAGTGGTTCAAATCCACTAGCAGCTCTGTGGGAAAAAGATGGGCAGTCTCTTCCCCTTAAAATTTATAGCCTCAGTAACCTGATGGAACATCACCATGAGTTGGAACTGACTTGATGGCAGTGAATGAGAAACGGCAGCTTTGACTGTCCCTTGACATAGTTAAAATTAAATATTAGTGCCGTCATGGACCAGTTCCACAGAAACATCTTTAGTGTAGGGACCTAGGCAATCAAATGTCTTTGAAAACCCTGCAGATAATTCTAATGTGCATCCAGATTTAAGAACCTACTCTATGTGATTGAGAATTGACAACATAGTGGTTGATTTTTTTTAATTCTAAGCGTTTTTCCTGATGAATTTATAAACATGAAAGCCCACCTTAAATTGGTTGTGTATTCCTTCTTAAGTTTCTAGGCTGAGAGGGAACAAAGTTGCATCTTTGGAGACTTTAGTTCTAATATGGTGCTTTTCAATATCCTATTTATTTTTAAATGGCAGACCTGTTTTTATTGTATGGGAATTTAGGCAATCATAATATGTAAAAGAAATAAAAACAGGGCTCTTCTGATGATGGATCAGTGATGCCAGTGACTTTAGGCCATCACTGCCCACATGGATTAGTGGGTCAGTGAACTTTGTTTCTCTTCTGTGTAACCTGTTGTCCTTCCCTTCCACTGCGTCCCAGATGAGGTACAGGCGATTGCCACCTTAATTGAGAAGCAAGCACAGATTGTGGTGAAGCCCAGGTTGGTGTCAGAAGAGGAAAAGCAGAGAAAAGCTGCCCTCCTGGCCCAGTATGCTAATGTCACAGATGAAGAGGAATATCCTTTCCTGAGTCTCAAAGCAGAAGTGTGTGTTAGTTCACAGTGAGATTTGGCAAGTTTTCAATGCCCCTCGTGAGCTTAATTTCCCTTCTACACAGTAGGGATATGGCCCTTTATGGGTGTGAGGAATGATGTTGAGTTCACACTAGACTTAACATTTTGAACATAAAATCAATGCATTTCTGAAAATTTTAGTGTAAAGCAAATATTACCATGATTATGGATCTTGTATATTGTTTTCAGAAAACTGAAATTTCTTATCTCTTTATCACACCTGTGTCATTCACTGTCATATGTGTAATCTCTTTTATTTTTTCCCAGTAGATAAAGTGAGGTACAAAGAAATGAATCATTTTCTGATTTTTAAAATAATCAGAAAAAAATTAAAAAATCAGAATAAAAATTAAAAAATGATCATTTTTCATCTGAATCATTCAGAGAATTAGTGGCAAAATTAGGACTAGAATCTGGATACTTTGGGATACTAAATTTGCACCACCAGAAAAAATCTGTAGTTTGAGTAAGAAGTGTTACTGGCAAGGGCAGGTCTGGTCCCTGTCAGCTTGGAAATGCTTGGAGTAGGTGGCAGTTCCCTCTAGTTTTCCTCCTTGCTCTCATCGGCACAGTTGTACGTCTAATTGCAGAATCTCACCCCTTTGCTAGGTGATTTGGCTGTGCTTTGTCTGGACCAGGCTATCTAATTCAGTAGATCTGGCATGAGCCTAGGAATCTGCATTTCTAACAGATTCCCAGATGGTTCTGAGAAAACATATATTAAGAACCACTCTTTTTAGAAATTCTCTTGCCACCTTACAATTTAGAGATAATGTGACAGTCCACCCAGGCCAGCTTGTTTCTTTGCAGCTTTAAGGACTAAGGCTCTGAGCAATCATCCTTTAAAGAACGTTTAAAGATGAATCTCTTGGCTTTCCCCTTTGTTAAATATGAATTGGACTGACACAGTAACTGTAACAGCTGAGATTATGAACACGGCACAGGATTGTCTTATATGTGTATAGGGTCCCTGTGAGTTGGAGCCAACTTAATGGTACATAACAGCAATCTCCCGAATGTTTCCTTATGTTGGATTTGGCGAGGCCAGCCTTTGTTTTTTCTGTGTTTCCTTAACGTCACTTACTGAAGCAGATGAGAAGGACGATCCAGGTGCCACGACAATGAACCTTGGTTCTGACAAATGTATCCTTCTCTGTGTCCACTCCTATGTGTGTCTCCATAGATCCTCTTGAAGGTCAGTTTTTATTTGCTGTTCTGTTGTTACGAGGGCTCTCCTTACATCCAGAAGCTTATGTGTGATGTCAGCACTGGAAGCCCCAGTCCTAGTTTATTTAGCAAGAACTTTCCCCAAAGAACACATGTTAACATATACTGTGAAGGGAGTAGCTTGTGAGGAAGATTTCTAAGGGAAAATAAGAATCTAAACTCCCTCTGTATAGCTCTAGTTGCCTTATACTCTTGTATTCAAAACAATATGCAAGTCTTAGTCTTTGTTCTCAGAAACTTTAGAATTTCTTGGGGAGAGAACACAAAATGGAAATTTGAAACAGGTTAATAGTGTGTGCTTCCTGAGACATACATACTGTCTACTAATAATTTAATAGAAGCTTTCTTTTTTTTAAAAAAGAAATTATTATTATTTTTTCTGTGTGGACTGTCAAATCAGATCTGACTGGTACAGGAGGAAATTGCCCCTCCTTTAGCAGAGCATGTGGTGGATTCAAACCGCTCACCTCTGAGACTACAGTGTAGCTTCTTGCCACTAGGCCACCGGAGCTCCCCTAGTAGAAGCTTTCTGTAAAAGGTAATTTTAAAGATCCACCACTCACCTTCCTTTTTTTAAAAAAATATTTTTATTATTATTAATGTTAATGAAAATTTGCAGAGACTTTGGATTTCCATTCATTCATTGTGCCACTCACCTTCTTAAGATGAAGAGTGTGTTGGATTACCAGAAAAGGGGAGTTTGTTAAGACACAAAAGCAGAAAACGTCATGTTTTAAAAGTAGAGCTTGGCTAGGATAAACAGGTGTTTATTTAGAGTCATAAGAAATGAGAGATAAAAGCTTTTGGTGTTTTGTAACTGGTTACATTTACTATTTTACATCTTATAAACTCAGAGTTCATAAGTGTTAAACATAGATTTTTTCCATAACTCAGAGAAAAATTTTGTAGGGTTAAATTGACAAATAAGGTTAAACAAGTACTTTAATATCACCAAACACATAAAAGTTTCACCGTTTGCACTCAATATTCACTAAACCTGGCCTGGCTCCAATTCCTGGCTACATGGATTTATTCTAGAATAAAGTTTCATTTCAATGAAGTATTTTAAAATTCAGGTTTAGATAAATTTGAGATTTTTGAGAGACCGTTTTCAACATTTTAGCAGTTGTATTGGTGACTTTAGGATTTCGCATCAGGCCAATAAAGAATGATTTATATATGTATATATATATTAGTTTGCATATAAACATTCATATACATTGTATTTTGTACACTTTGTGTTTTATACACTCATATACATTATATAATTGCCATTTCTCTATGCTTATTATTTCCAAGCTCCCACTTGAACCTTTCCCATTGTTCACCTCCAACCCATAATGAATGCCTTTTAGGATGTGGAGTAGGAGGAACACATTTCAGGACTTGGTATGTAGCTTGAGGACAGTGAGAAGGAAGAACCTGACCTGTATCCTGATCCCTTAACTCACCTGTAGCTCTCTTCCGAAACACCAACGTGGAAGATGTCCTCAATGCCCGAAAACAGGAGCGAGATTCACTTCGGGATGAGTCCCAAAGGAAGAAGGAACAAGACAAGTTGCAGAGGGAGAGGGACAAATTAGCTAAGCAGGAGCGCAAGGAAAAGGAGAAAAAAAGGACACAGAAAGGGGAGCGAAAACGATAACCATGGCCCAGTCTCTCCTCCCAAGAACTTGCTCACAGGGAGAACTGGTTATACGCATGTATTTAAGAGAAAAGAGAGAACATTGCAAAGTGGTTTCCCAAGGCATTTCCCCTTTTGTTTACAAGGTCAAAAGGAAAATCACACATACTTCTAATTGTAAGATGTGCCATATCAGTGTGATATAAGTGATCGGATTATTATAGTTGATATCTTTACCAAAGATCTGGACTGGAGAAATCTTTTCTTTTTAAAATACAAGTCCTCTTCTCCTTTTGACCACTTTTAATAAAGTCTTCCCTGTCACTTTGGATAAACAGCAGGAGGATTCAGAAAGCTAACAACTAACATTTTTCATCCTGAAGGAGTAGAAAGATCGCCATTCCTTCCCATAGATAAAAGAGTGCAGGTTGTTTCAGAGGCAGTGCTCAGCTCTACACATGAAGTTGTTTGGTGGCTGAAATAGAGAAGAGCTCCTCCTGGATCCAGATTTTATGTCATGTGGCAACAAACTAGGAAAGTGAAAAGTTGTTTAGGGGGTTGTTCTAGAATTGAGAATGAAAATGAAGTCTCAGCCTATGAGTGGAGAAGGAGTAGCTTTTTAACTAGAGTTGTTTTTGGTTTTGTTTTTTGTTGGGTTTTTTTTTCCATTTAGGCTGTGACTTTAAGAAGGATGCATTCTTATTAGTGCAAGAATATCATTGTTAGCTGTTCTGTTGTGGTTTTAAATATGTCTTTTTATTTTTTCTACTAGTTTATTTACAAAACTTGAATACAAATTTGAACAAATTCTTTCAATTTCCCTCACCCCCCCATCAAATTGTACAACCCAATGATTAACCCCCCTCCCCTGCACATCCACATCGCTCTGCTTCCAGCCTCTCCCACGCCTCCTGGATCCTTATACTCATTCTACAATAATGGCTTTATACAATATTTATTCTTATGGGACTGAGTTAGTCACTCAGCATAATGCTCTCCGCTCCCTCCCAAGTTAGGTAATAATTTACAAAGTTATTGCTCCTGCGTGCTGCATAGGATTCCATTGTGTGACTGTACCATAATTTTGTAATCCATTCATTTTTTTAAATCATGAGGCTTCTTCAGTGCTGATAGATCTTAATCTAACTTGCCAAAAAAGCTTATGAAAATAAAGATCTGATAATTGTGCATTTAGAGAAACTAGAGAAGTTGCCCTTTTAAGGAAGAATCCCTGGAAGTCTCTGCTAACACACATACTTAATAGTGTGCATAGTAGGCACTCAACAGATTTACAGAGTAGATAATATTCTCCTTGGGAGAGTGAATAGCTTTCCATTCCCCCTTTTGTCATAGGCCACATTAAGTCTTAAACAAGGCCTTTCTCTACTTCCAGGTGCCATGCTGTCAAGCTTGAAGAGTGCAGTTTGACTGATGAGATAGAAAGTAGCTCATTCTAGAGGTTGGCAACCAGTTGTCTGCAGGTCAAATTTAGCCTGGCCTGTTTTTGTATGGTACAAGCAAAGTCTGTACATTTTTAAAGGGCTGGTTTTAATGGTTTCTTCTTTCTTTTAAAAAAAGGTAAAACAGACTATCTGTGTGGCTTACAAAGCCTGAAATATTACTTACTCTTTACAGACAGTTTGCCAACCTCTATTTTGTATCATTAACTGGGAAATTAACAGTAAATTTTACAGTTGTGCAGAAGATAAAAAGATGCATGGTTTAGGAAAGGAGATGTGTCTTACTTCTTCATATATACTCCTACAGCCATGACATTGCCAAAAACAAACTCCATCTTTTTAAATAAATAAACTTTATTTAAATTGCTGTCTTCTGATCTGATTTCTTCCAGCTATTCATGTAAATGAATTCTATAGGAATATTCATTTAAGAATGTTTCAAACTGTTAGGTGCCCCTAAGTCAACTACAGCTCATAGTGACTTTATCCTGTACCATTGCCATCAGCTTCATCATGCTCAAATCCTAGTATTCGTTTCAGTGCTATTGAAAATACTTCCAGAATGTTCTTACATCAGGCAAATTTTAAAAAGGCCATATTTTCTATGAAAGGAGCTCTGTAGCTTTAGCTGCTAATTAAAGTTGGGTCAAATCAAAGGGAACTCTCCATAGGAGAAAGATGGGCATTCTCTTGTTAAGAGATCCAAGAAATTGCTAAATGAAGCTGAATCAGCTTAAAGCAGCGGGTTATTTTACTTGTGTTCTATGGAAGGAGCCCTGATAGGGCACCAGTTAGTTAAGTGCTTGGCTGCTAACCCAAAGTTTGGTAGCTTGAACCCACCAGGCGCTCCCTAGCAACAACATTTGGCAGTCAATAAAGAGTATATTGAATGAATTTATTAAAATTTGTATTTGAATTCTGTAAACTATAGAAAAATAAAAAAAGTATATAGCCTTAGAAAATGTATCACTTACTCAAGTCATTGCTATTGAGTTGTAACCAACTCAGCTGACCCTCCAACAGGTTTTTGGAGGCTGTGAATCAAATGGGGATTGCACACCTTTCTCCTGAGGTGCTGGTAGATTTGAACTGCCAGAGGCGCAGCCTTTTAGTTAGTTAGCACCATACTATCTTACAGATTATACCAACAGAACTCCCACAAAACCCCTGTAGAATAGTTTTACTGTCCTATAGGGTCCTATGAGTTGGAATTGATTTGATAGAGTATGTTTGGTTTTATCTTCTGTTAAACTGATATTTTAGGCCAAATTCAGATTTCAGTTCTGACAATTCTTAAAGCAGCAAAGCTTGCTATTAAAGTCGGAGAAGCACTGATTTAATTCAAGGTCATTCTTTTTCTATTAAAAAAAAGTATGCTGAATTATTTTGCATTAGAAATGGTGGAATATTAGTTTCACTACAATTTTGTGATCATTTTGTAAAGTCTTTGTACATTGTGTTTCAGTATAAAAGGATCATTCTTTAGAATGTGAAAAATATGGATAAACAAAATTCAGAATTATTCACTGGGTAATTTAGTAGTATTTTAAAAATTTTCCATGCACACCCATGTTTATCGCGGCTTTGTTCACAGTAGCAAGGAGTTGGAAACAACCTAAGTGCCCATCAACAAACGAATGGATAGAGAAGCTGTGTTCTAGTCACACAGTGGAATACTACACTGCATTGAAAAGCAAGGAACTCATGCAATATTAAAAATAGGTGACCCTGGAGGACGTTATGCTGAGTGAACTTTCTCAGTCACAAAAAGACAAATCCTGCATGGTGCCACTGTTGTAAAAGAGCACTGACCTTGAGGTTGGGGGGAGACTGAAAAAGATCGGTTCAATAATGTATACTATATACATTTGACTGTGTGGATCATAACAGACTGGCTGACTGAGAAGAACACTTGATCGTGCTAATGCGAAACCTATACTTGGACCAGGAGGCAGTTGTCAGAGACAATGCAATTGGCACAGGACAGAGCAGAGTTTAGGGCTGTTGTACATAGGGTCGCTATGAGTCGCAGGCGATTCGACGGCACATAACAACAACAACAACAACAACAATATTGAAACAGATGAGAGAGAAAACTGTTTAAAAGGGAAATGTGATTAGGTATTTTTGTCATGACAGGAGTCCAGAGTGAAGGCTGCATGGTGGAGTGGACCTGGGGAAAGGGATTGTAAAACAATCAAAGAATTTTCCTTTTCCAAGTGTACTGGGGGGAGGGTTGCGAGGGGAGAAAAGTGCAAGAATGAATGAATGGAAATCCAAAGTCTCTGTAAATTTTCACTGAAATTAATGTTAATTGTTAAGTGCTGTCGAGTCGCAGGCGACTCATAGAGACCCTATGAAGGAGAGTCCTCAATACTTGGCTGTCTCTCATCCTCTCCAGGTTCATAGGGTTTCCGGAAGCAAGCTGTTATGGAAGTGGTTGCTACTCCTCCTTCCAAGCTTGTTTTGATTGGGGAGCTCCACCCCACTCTCTGTCTGCATTGAATAACCAGCCATAATGCATTTGACACATCAGTGTTACAGTGTTCAGCCTCACAGCAATTGTACACCAGGACTATATGACCTAGAGGAATGTCTGAACAAAAACAATGAAAGACAAGCCCGAGGGCCGCAGATTAAAAGTCACCCACCTTTGGCTTGGTAGCATTGCCTTCCATCCACTGGGCCAGCTGATCTCTCTCTATGTTGATGTTACTGTTAAGTGAAATTAAAAAAATTTCCCCCTAGTTTTTGTTAATGAACTGGTAGTTCATTTCTGACCACTGGCATGTAAAAGACTTCATTAGAATTTTAATTTTGAAATTAAAGCAAATCTAAGGCAACCAAAATATGACTTTGAGTCTATCCCACCTGAATTTCAGAACCATCTCAGGAAGAGGTTTGAGGCTTTGAACACTAATGAGCGAAGGCCAGATGAGTTGTGGGAGGATATCAAGGGTATCATCCAGGAAGAGTGCAAACGGCCATTGCAAACACAGAAGAGGAAGAAAAGACCAAAATGG